TACTGAGAGCCAATGTAAGTTCTTTAGGACCAGTGGTACATGGTCCTGGCACTGCCTTGTCTGAGTCTAACTTATTACCAGATCTGTCACCTGGCAATTTCCCTCCATCTGTTCTGCTCAACCACTCGGACATTTAAGTTGGGCACATTTGGCTGATATCCCTTCATCAAATCCAGACCAGAGAGCCTATAAATTGCACGGCTCACAAGGGCCAAAAACCACACATGGAATACGAGGGGAATGCAGATGGCGCATCTGCAGACAAGGCAAGTGTTGGCAGAGGACACAGGGACCACGAAGTGGGAACATAACAGCACCAGACAAGCAATTTGTGACAACTCAGGTCCAAATGCAACATGTTCCGAAGCCTCTTGACTATTGCATTGCATTTATTGGCTGCCAAGGCATCCAAGGCCATTTACAATTTCAAAATGCTAACACAAACAAATGGTCCTGCCAGGCCAACCCATGGTCTCTTCAGTGGCTCCCACCTTTCCTCAGGATGCAGGGGTCTCAAGAAGCCCTAGCCAGAGGTGGGAGAGAGGCAGGGATGTAGTGTAGGGGGACTGCAGGGGCGATTGTCCCAGGCGCATTTTTCTGGGGTGGCACGGTGCTCACACTACCTTCCCTGATCAGATCTCAGCCTCGTCAAGCGGCACATGGCTGGCTCAAGGAGGACGGCATGAGAAGGAAGCAACAGTTATGTGCCCTTTGATCCCAGCCCCTTGAGGGTGAGGCTGGGATTGAAGGATGCATGCTATACTTCTCACACAGCCCTCCCCAAGATGCAGGGCCCTGTGCTGCTTTGCAGGGCTGGGATCATTCCAGCTTCATTTAATTGAATTGAAATACCTTATTGTCACTTGCACAACTTGTATACAGTGAGATTACACGAGCCCCCCCCCCCATTCTGCTCTCTTAGTCTTAATTCCCCTCGTTTACTGACGCACACCCAGCAAACCCGAAAGTCAGTTGCCCTGTTGTTATCTTTTCATTCAGCAGGCTAACAGCCCACGGATAGAAGCTGTTCTTTACCCTGTTGGTGTGACTAATCATGTTTCTATATCTTCTGCCTGTGGGCAGGAGATCAAGGAAGTGCCGGCCAGGGTGTGAATCATCCCTGAGAATTTTCCTCACTCTCCTGAGGCAATGTTCTTCCGCTATTTCATCCAGCGGATTCATGGGACAGCCCATAATAGCTTGTGCTGTATTAACCACCCTCTGTAGTCACTTCCTATCAGTTGATGTCAAACTAGCGTACCACACCGTGATGCAGTATGAAAGGACACTTTCTATTGTTGACCGGCCCTCCATGCCATGTGCCCTGACCCCCAGCATGCGTGCGCATCCCTGGGTGCCATGAAAACATGCTCCGCTGCTGGAGAAAGGATGCCTCAATACTTCTCTTGGGCAACTGATGGTTCTGTGGTCTCTGGCTGGGGCTTCTGTTTTCCCTCAGGGCACACAGATCTTTCTCAGTACAGTCATACCTCAGAAGTTGAACGCCTTGCGAGTCAAACATTTTGCCTTCCGAACACCACAAACCCGGAAGTGCGCATTGCAGTTTGCGAACATTCTTTGGAAGCCAAATGGTTGATGCGACTTCCGGGGCTTCCGATTGGCTGCAGGAGCTTGGTTTCTCAACGTTTTGGAAGTTGAACGGACTTCTGGAACAGATTCTGTTCGACTTCCGAGGTACGACTGTAGTGGCCAGTGAGATGGATGGGATGGGGCACCATCACTCTTCTAGCTTTCCAATCAGGGGCAGGGGAGGGCCAGAGGGAGCTTGGTCCAGCCTGGTGCATCTGTAGTGGGATTCATTTGGCCATTGGTGATGGCAGCATCTCATAGCAGCCATCTCCAACTGACATTGTGTTGTAAGGTCACAGACTTCCAGAACTCTTGAACTGGGGAGCTCAAAGGAAATGCAACAGGAGGCTGTGTGGAGGGACACAGCAGAGTGGGATGCAGTGGGGGAAACAACAGCTGTAAACAGTTCTAGATTGCCAAAAGCAGAACAGAAAAGAAATTCAGTTTTTTGCAGCAGTTGCCCACCGACATAATTCCTTTCACAGTGGAAAATCAAGCCTGAAGAAGATTTGGATCAAAACTAGCCAGCTTTTGTATTATTTTCTGTAAACAAGTTCCTGAAGCCAAAAGAAATATCCAACTTTTAGTATTTCTGCTATATGTGTTTATTTGTAAGAGCACAGGTTGTCCACAGACAAGCAGCTAGACAGATTGATGCTGCGTTTTTTAAACCTAGCGCAATTTCCAAAAGGCAAACAGCGTATGCTTGCAGCCTCACAGATAGACATCTCATTCACTGGCTACAACCCAAACGATTTCTCTTTGACCTCACAAAATGGAAAGCGAGCAACTGTCTCAGCTCCTATCCTCTGCCCACTGGCTAGTAGACTACAGCCATTGACCCAAAACAAAACATCTTCTAGCTCTTAGTGATGGCAGTGTGCTCAACATTTCTCCCACTTTTTTTAACCCTTCCCCTTCCATTGCTGTGAAATAAATTGCATTAAAAATTGTGAAGAGGGAAAAATGTTGGTGATATTCTCATGAGTAGGCAACACTTCTGGCGCCTCTGCACATGTTCAAGTGCCGAAACCCGGAAGTAACCAGTTCTGGTACTTCCGGGTTCAGTGCGGTGCACAACCCGAAATCACGCAACCCGAAGCGTCTGTAACCCGAGGTATGACTGTACTTACTGCATATACAACCGGTATAGTAAAAAGAGAGACGTTAGTTCATTCTATGTTTATTAGTCTCTCCAAGATTGGTTATGCACATTGCACTTTAGTTTGCTTATTGTTTAGTAGGTTTATGAGTTTATATATCTATTCTAGTAAAATTTCCTTTAAGCCAGTTTTTGGTGTTGTTGGTTTGTTGTATAATAATTGTTATTACACCTGATACTTTTTGTGTATACTATGTTTCATTGAAATGGACATAATTTTCAAGTGAAAATACCTGGGAACGGAAACAACTTTATAATGGGCATTTTTAAATAGGGACCAGCATTCTCTATTGGTGCCACTCCGGTGGAAGGTATTTTTTTCCAGGGTTTTTATGCAGATATTTCCAAAAAACCTCAGACTCACAGAAAAGCGGATGCCCAAACTAGGGGAAAGCTAAGAATGAGCTTGATGTATGCTCTCATGGTATTGCGAGAAGAGTCAGTATTATAGGTTAGCATTACAAGTGTACAAGAAAATTATAGGATATAGCGTAGCATTACATCCTTTCTATATTTCATAAAGTCATTTGCCAAAGGACTCATAAAAACTAATAATGCGTAAAATATTAGTTGGCCAACATTCATGACTTTTGCTTCTAAGTGGAAATTTACGGCTAAGAAAGTTATCAGTGCTACGTTGGAACAAGTTGGAATTAATTAAACCCATGTTAAGGTTTAATTAAAATTAAGAGAGACAAGGTAATCTAATTTTGTCAAAGAAAAACACATCTCTATTTATTTCATGTTGATTTAATGATATGAAACTAGGCCAAGCACTATATTCCAATCTGTTGATTTGCTTTCCACTTTGCTGTTTTCAGATAACAACCCTTTTAAAAAATGGCATTATCACAAATTGTTATCAGAATACTCTGACGGCTAAATTAAAATGTAATTATGGCATTGGTGTGGCAGCCAGAAATTATACACACACACACACACACACACACGTACCTTGAGTTAAGAACTTAAATCGTTCCGGAGGTCCGTTCTTAACCTGAAACTGTTCTTAACCTGAGGTACCACTTTAGCTAATGGGGCCTCCTGCTGCTGCGCTGCGATTTCTGTTCTCATCCTGAAGCAAAGTTCTTAACCCAAGGTACTATTTCTGGGTTAGCGGAGTCTGTAACCTGAAGCGTCTGTAACCCCAAGCATCTGTAACCCGAGGTACCACTGTGTGTGTGTGTGTGTGTGTGTGTGTGTGTGTGTGTGTGCCACAAGACTGATCATAGCTAGTGCTGAAGCAAGAAGAGATGCCATGTGTGCATCAAAATTTGATATTCGTAGAGTTTCTTATAAAACTCAAAGCCATGATGCACACATGGGTAGAATGATCACTGCAGATTTTCAGGTGAAAAACACAAAACAACATTTTTTTCTGGTGAAGGAGGGGTGGAAGTCAAAGTTTTGAATTTCTTTACAAATCCCAGTGTATCTGAGTTTCTTTGGGCTGGGGAAGGACAAATTAGTCTATTTATAGCCTGCATCACTTTTGCATGTTTTTGCCACAAGAAAGTAAAAACATAAGAGGAGGAGGTTGGATCAGGCCAATGGTCAATCTAGACCAGCATCCTTTTCTCATGGTGGCTGCCCAAAGGTCTGTGGGAATCAGATTCAGTGGGGTGTCTCATTTAGGTGCCCTGCGGGAAATCTTAGTGTCCCACACCAGCTGCACCTTTGTCCCGAAACCTTCCCCAGACTGCCCAAGGAACACCTGGGACGAAGATGTCTCAGGGGGAAAGTTAAGATAGATGGAGGAAGGTTCGTTGAATGATAAGAAGCTGCCTTAAACCATGTCTATGCTGGCTGGCTGGGTGGGTCTCTGTAAGGTTTCAGACACTAAACATCTCCTGTAAGGTAAAAGGTAAAGGACCCCTGGATGGTTAAGTCCAGTTAAAGGTGACTATGGGGTTGCAGTGCTCATCTCACTGTCAGGCCGAGGGAGCTGGTGTTTGTCCACAGACAGCTTTTCAGGTCATGTGGCCAGCAGGACTAAACCACTTCTGGTGCAACGGGACACCGTGAAGGAAGCCAGAGTGCATGGAAACGCCGTTTACCTTCCCGCCACGGTGGTACCTATTTATCTACTTGCACTGGCGTGCTTTCGAACTGCTAGGTTGGCAGGAGCTGGGACAGAGCAACGGGAGTTCACCCCGTTGCGGGGATTTGAACCGCCAACCTTCTGATCAGCAGGCCCAAGAGGCTCAGTGGTTTAGACCACAACGCCACCTGCGTCACCTGTACTACCTGGAGATGCCAGGGGCTGAACCTAGAACCTTCTGCATGCAAGGAAGATGCTGTACTACTGAGCTATTTTTCTATTATTATTATTATTATTATTATTATTATTATTATTATACCTGCCCATCTGAATGGGTTGCCTCAGCCACTCTAGGAGGCTTCCAGAACATACAGAACATACATAATAAAACATCAAACATTAAAAAGTTCCCTATACAGGGCTGCCTCCTTGACATCTGATGGGAGGGCGTTCTACAGGGTTGGCGCCACCACTGAGAAGGTCCTCTGCCTGGTTCCCTATAACCTCACTTCTCACAGTATGGGAACTGCCAGAAGACCCTTCCCCACTGAGATATGGAAAATAGACAGCACATTAGCCTAGGGCAGGGTTTCTCAAACTTGGATCTCCAACTCCCATCATCCCTAGATACCAGGACCAGTGATCAGAAATAATAATAATAATAATAATAATAATAATAAATTTTATTTATATCCCGCCCTCCCCAGCCAAAGCCAGGCTCAGGAATCGCAGCCCCAAAACACCTGGAGACCAAAGTTTGGGAAACGCCGGCTAAGGGTGTGCAAAGCAGACTGTGGCACACATCTCTGTAAGCTCTCCACCCCTCAGAATTTGCCGCCTGAGGCAGCTGGCTTACTCTGCTTCATGATAGGAGCAGCCCTGCCCTTTCTGAGCCAGCACTTTCCTTACCCAAAAATCCAACAACTGCATCTAGAATGGGGAGGAGTCAGCAGAGTCAGCCAACGTGTAGGGGAGGATGAAAGACCATTTAAGCATCCTCTGTTGGCTTCACATAAGGGAGAAGATGGAGACTGCGGGGCAGCACAGCAGCAGCTTTTAGTACAAACACCTAAGCAAGGAAGGGAACAGAGAGCCCCCAAAAGCCAGAGAATGAAAAGCCAGGAGCTTCCCTCCTTTGCCGTAAACAGGAGAGTCATCCACTCACTCAAAGGTTAGCAGCAGTGCAGGAAATGAATTTAGCTGGTATCACAGCTGGTGAGGGAAGGGGAAAACCTCTCTTCTTTGCCTGCTGCATTTCCAATTAAAATTCACCCCCTCCGTGCCTGATATTAACATTTTTTAAAAAGAAAGAAAAAGATTGACACAGTTTCTACTAATGTCACATTTAATGGCATCTGAAGCATGGCCCTCGGTAAGGTAGAGAAATTTGGTGAGGTTTGCATTTTAATTCATACCGCCCAGAGTGGCTGGGGAAACTCAGCCAGATGGGCAGGGTATAAATTATTATTATTATTATTATTATTATTATTATACATCCCAAACGTAAACACGAACCACAATGTGTCCTCCATCTGGCAAGATGGGCTTTCGCACTAGATCTCCAAATCAGACATAGTAGCAGCTAACAATCCTATCTTTGTAAGCATGTGGCGAGAAGACTAATGCACTCTTATGTGGCGCTGCCATGGTGAGTACCATCAACAGGCTGCGCTTATTGAAGAGTGGGATAGAGATGAACCACTTAGCCCAAGGCTACAACATTTCCACAAGCTGCTGATTATTTCATAGGCTCCTGTTACTCTGATGGCACTGGCTATAGAGAGAGCCCTCCAAAACACATCATGACAATTTATATCGGGCTTCTTCCGCCCCAAGTAGGGCACCCGGAACAGCTTACAAGCCATATTTCAAACCAGAGAACAATATTAAAGCAATAGATATCTTGAAGAAAAACCACTTGATAGGTCAAGGCAGATCCAGCAGCAACTCTAGCTACACACAAGCTCAGCAGCCGTAGGTCAAGAAACCAGAAACATGACCATAAAACAGAGAGAAATTGCTTTAAGAAAGCCATCCTGAGATATCTCCTGCATGTGCAAACTGATGGATCTCCTAGGGGGCAGTAAGTTCCTCAGTCTAGGCACAGCCAGTGTTTAAAATGAGGTAACCACCAAGCATGTTTTGTGACTCCAATTGCGACCATGTTGAGATCTCTGAATGACAGGTTGGTGATTGACAGCTCCATCTGACTGGCCCCTCCAGCTTTCTAAAACAGGTAAGGAAAAGAGCTTATTTACTGCACATCACTCCTTTTTCTTCAAGGAGTGCATGGTTCTCCACTTCCTCAGTTAATCTCTACTATGACTCTGTGGGATAGCTTAAGAGACTCTAATTGGCCCACAGTCACCCAGTGAGCGTCATGACTGAGTGGGGACTTGAACCCTGATCTCCCAGGTCCTAGTCCAACACTCTAACCACTACACCACCCTGGCTACCTCAAGTCCTTCTGCTACAGGGCAGCTCTATAAATTAAGAAGTTAAATAGATACGGGGAAAGCAAAATATCACTTACAGAAGAATCTGAAGTATTTTCCTTGAAGATTGAATTTGTTTTATTCTGGATTGTTTTATTTGATGTTTTAATGTGCTGTAAAACCACTTGATTTATCAGCTACTTTAAAATGAGGCTGCATTTTAAATTGCATTTTAACCTTTTATTTTAAATTGTGGGTTTTTTTCTCCCCCTCCCCTTTTTCCCCTATTATGTTTTTACTGTGACTTTATTGGTGTTAGCCGCCCTGAGCCCGGCTCTGGCTTGGGAGGGCGGGGTATAAATAAAATTTATTATTATTATTGAGATTTTTTTCTTTAAAAAAATGAATAGAAGTAATAATAATAAATCTCATGGGGGGGGGGGAAGGTGCCTAAATATTCCACTGTGGCAACCATAACCTAGGTTTAAGGTGCCATTTGGAGATTAGCTGATACAGTGGAACCTCGGTTCCCGAACACTCTGTTGTCGTACGCTTCGGATCTCGCACTCCAAAAACCCAAAAGTAAATGCTTCCGTTTTTTGAACGTTTTTGGAACCTGAACGTGTGATGCACTTTCTGCTGAGTGCAAGAAGCTCTTGCAATCAAAGGGAAGCTGCACCTTGGTTTTCAAATGTTTCGGAAGCCAAATGGGCTTCCGGAACGGATTTTGTCCGAGAACATCTGAGTTTCTAACACTGGGCACTGCTACCAAGAAAGCCCAGACTCACTTCATTGTCTTCCTCACCTCACAGTCATGAAACAAGTCTCTCCTAAACACCAGGGTTCTCTGGGGGTTCAAGCAGGAGAAGACAGATTTTCAGTTACTGGGGAGAATCATTAACTAAAGACATCTTCTAATGCAGGGGTAGAGAAACTCAGACCCAGGGCCTGAATGTGAATAACCTCCAAGTGTCCTGGTTTTCCAGGGACAGTCCTGGAATTACAAAAGCCACCCTGGCTTCTGCTTTGATCCCAGAATGTCTCTAGTTCCCTTGCCAGTGCAGCCATGGAGAAAGATGAGCCGGCGCTTGTTCCAAGTGCCTGTAGTGGCTGCTGCAAAGGAGCATCCCATTGCCTCTCCATGACCGCTGCTGCCAGCCTCCTTGCTTGGGCATTAAAGGCTTTTCTCAGGATGTGGAGGGTGTGTGTGATGGTGGCACATGCCCTTCTTCCGGTAGGAAATGCTTTGCTGGACAGGGGGAAATAGGGGGTTGAGGAGGGTCAGTTGTGGGAGGGAGTGAGATGGGTGGCGGCAGAAACACAGATGCCGAGGGGGAAGAATACCCTCCAACATTCCTCAGATGAAAATGTCCCTATTTTCATCTGAGGAATGTTGGAAGGTATGGATGTGACCCTACGTCATGGGTAGGCAAACTAAGGCCCAGGGGCCAGATCCGGCCCAATCGCCTTCTAATTCTGGCCCGCGGATGGTCCGGGAATCAGAGTGTTTTTACATGAGTAGAATATGTGCTTTTATTTAAAATGCATCTCTGGGTTATTTGTGGGGCATTCATTATTTTTTTTCCAAAATATAGTCCGGCCCCCCACAAGGTCTGAGGGACAGTGGACCGGCCCCCTGCTGAAAAAGTTTGCTGACCCCTGCCCTACGTTGTACTATTGCCATATTTCTAGAAGTAAGATTCAAGACACAAACCTTGTTGAGGAAATGAAATGTTGAGCAATAAACCTCAATATCCCAGACATTTTGCAGATTTCCCGAAAATGGTGGTTAATTCCCAAACGTCTCTGGGAAATTCCATATGGAAGACCTTTCCTACAAGCCCCTCCGCAGCAGCTCTTGACCCGCTAGTGCTACCCTGAAACTGGTATTCAGGGACATACTGTCTCCAACAGATCTTAGCTTAGCTGACTAGAGCATGGTGCTGATAAAGCCATGTTTGCAGGATTGACCCCCATATGGGACAGCTGCATATTCCTGCACTGCAGGGGTTGCACTAGATGATCCTCAAGGCTCCTTCCAACTCTACAATTCTATGCAGTGCTTTTTTCTTTAAAAAAAAAAAGTTTAGGGGTACAGTGGTACCTTGGTTTGCAACCAAGGATTACAACCGTTGCTTTGGATTACAACCGTTTTGGACTACAACCATGTCAAACCCAGAAATGTGTGTCCCTTTTTTTGGATTACAACCCATTTTTCTGGGATTACAACCCAATTTTTTGGGACGCCCCGTTGGTGAAAGCACGTCTTGGGTTACAACCTGTTTTGGTTTTACAACCGGACCTCCGGAACAGATTATGGTTGTGAACCAAGGTACCACTGTACTCTCATTTTCCTACTCATATTGAAATACTGCCCCTCAATGAGGCCAAACTTAGATTCACAAAATGTTTAGGAGAATGCGTCACCCTGTGCCCCCCTGGAAAAAAGCACTGATTCGGTGCATAAAATGCATTACAGTGGACGCTTGGGTTGCGAACGTGATCCATGCGGGAGGCACATTCACAACTCGCAGCATTCGTAACCCGTGTCTGCGCAATTCAGCGCTTCTGCGCATGCTCAAAGTGCGATTTAGCACTTCTGTGCATGCACAAAGCGCAATTTAGCGCTTCTGCGTATGTGCGACCGCCAAAACCCGGAAGTAACCCATTCCGGTACTTCCGGGTTTCGGCAGTCCGCAACCCAAAAAAACGCAACCTGAAGCGTCTGTAACCCGAGGTATGACTGTAATAGCCCTATGCTCCATGGGTTTGCCTAATTCTCTTTTGAAGCCATCCCACTTCTGGTAGGAGCAGATTCCATGGATTTAACTATGTGCTGTGTG